GCTTGTTTAGAAAAGGTAACGGAGATGAGAAAGTAAATGAGAACAATCCCGAAATGTCAAAGGATAGAGGCATGAGAGTTCATGTCCAAGTCTGAAGCGGCAGCCTTGGCAGGGTACAGCCAGTGCCAGGGCGCAAAGGAATCCTGTGAATCGGCCACAGGAGGAGCTACAGAGTGCTGAATGCAAGATGTTCCACCATCGCCGGTGTACTCCAGGTGTCTTGGGCACGGCAAAGGCAGGACTGATGGGGGGGCATTGTCCCCAGGATGTGCAGGCATCTTGGAAGGGGCTGGAGAACCTGTCAAGAATGGAGCCTGTGCCAGGCTGGGACTGGGAGGAAGGATAGGCCCATCCAGACAGCTGCTGGGCAGAGAAGTGGCGAGGTGGGCAGACACTGATACTTGAACGATGACCCTCCATCAATGCCAATGTTGGGAGATGCTCCTCATAGACAAGGCTAAGACCCTTGCTGATTTGCCGCCTGGAAAATCTATTTAGGGTATATAAAAGCCACTGCACCTCACCCTAGGAGACTTAGGGGTGTCAGGCATTCCCACTTAAACTCGGCTAACAGCACAGGTTCTTCTGTTTGGTTCCACATTATAGTTCCTGAAGCCAAAGCCCCATGCCAGAGCTACTAACTGCAACAGTTGAGGGGGGTCTGGGCATCAATAATTTCCAGAACTCCTCCTCCTCCACGTGGCTCCAGTGTGCAAGAGAATTGCAGACCAGCCTAGCTCTTCCTATGGCCACCGACCATGTCACCCAGGCCCCCTCAGCTCTGCTGCCTCAGACATCACAGACCACAAGACCCTGAAGTGCTTCACTTGCCCATTAAAGCTGGATGAGCACCAGGACGCCCCTTAATGGCATAATGGGGCCTTCTGTCATTATCTCCATCAGCAGGAAGCCGGGATAATGTAGCAGTAATGACCCGATGGGGGGGAGTCACCAGAGGGTGGGACTGGGAAAGCCCTTAATAAAGAGGCTAGAAGAAAGCCAGTTTCTGGGGGTTTATATTTGCATAGATTGATTTTCACACCGCCTCAGTCCTCGGGCCTTCCAGATACAACCTACACGGTCAGCAGGTTTTTGCTTGTTCTCAAGAAAGCGCAACAGACCACAAGCCAGATCTGCACTCGGCGCTCCTCAGCCAGTGACTCCTCCTGCTGCCCACAGGTGTCAACAAACCCATTTCACACAAGTCCAGAGAGGGCGAGAACCTTCCCAGAGTCATTTTACCTAGTCGGTGGCAGAGTGAGGATTTTGTTTTCAGTTTCTGATTGGTTTTTCCTGTGCTACTAAAATTAAGCTTTATTTTAGTGAGTGTGGAGAAGGAGGAATGAGGACCATGCAGAAAGTGTGGCGGGAACAATGCCTGGGGCTTTCTCCACCGTCTCAGTCAGTTGTGTGGGAACTGGTGGGGCAGGACTGAATGAAGACCTGAGCGTCTTCCCTCCTTTGGTTCTAAGCCTGAGCCCTGCCTCCCCCTCCTCCTTCCCTCTGCCTCACCCTGCTGGGATCAGCTGCTTTATGTCCACCCAGAGACAAGGACCAGTGGGGAAGTTTTGCCAAATACCCTGGGATGAGCTGCTGTTGCCAGACAAGACATGCTGGCCATAGAGGGTGTGGTGTAGCAGCCTCTGGGGGGTACACAGCATTGGGGTCACCTTAGAGCAGCTAACCCCTCCCAAAGAATGAGCAGCAGCACCACCTTCCAGAAAGGATGTCATAACTGTAGCTTTATTGTGATATGTTCCATTGTTTCCAGAACATCACTAGCAACTAGGAACCTATACGCAGGGCGATTTTTAGAACTGCAGAGTAAATAAAATATAATAGAGAATGGGGTTGTAACAAGAAATACACCTTAAATATAAATATACACATGATCTCCCACACATATAAAAGTCATGCTCTGCAAATACTTTGTCTATATACTGTCTCTGTGGGGTACTGAATCCCAGGACGCATCTTCAAGGATTTACATGTGTCCCATGAGCTGTGGATATTTCCAGAGAGCTTATGTAGGAGCAACACAATACAAATTTTGAAGGAAAAAAAATGTAAGTACCACAGAGCAATTTTTTAAAATATTTAATACTTTTGTACTACAAAGAATGAGCATTTCTTAAATATTACAAACAGTGAAACATACTAACTTACAGGTATGTACAATTTACTACTTTATACCTCGAAAGTGCAGGAAGATAAATTATACATCAGACATATGATTTTAGGTAAATGAACAATTTGATATTGCTCTTGTGTTGGTCTTGCTGCACTGTGTGCATGCCCATGGCTTGTTGCTGAATGGGGTTTGGGGGAGCCCTGTGGGGACAAAGGGAAGTCGTGGAGCCCCATGTTCATTCCCAAAGTGCCATCTTCCAGGCTGTATTTTGAGTTTTGTAACTCGCTATGGCTGGGTCAAGAACTGCTGCGCCCATATCCAACCTAGGACATGTTTTCAAGAGCTACAACTTTTGAGGATGGCAACACATGAATGTGAAAAACATCTGGTTCTGTTATACTAACTCTTCAGGCCCTGAGTCAGCTGTGGAGCTCCTGAAAGCTGGTTTTCAAATACCCATCAATACCCTCAGTTCAGTTCACAGAAGATGATTTCAGAATGAAGACCCACAGTGGAGGCTTCAAGAGCCTTCCCACCCTATAAAGTCATGGGCAAAATGCAAAGGGACAAAATGTGTCCTGAACAAGATCAGATTTTCAAGGACAAACTGCTACGGATAAATCCCTAAACACTTACTCATGTAGAGAGTGAATTAAAAGGGATCAGGGAAATTCTGATTTATGATCAGTAGGAAGGGAATTTTTTCCCAGAGGGCTCATATTAAAAGCCATATTAATACTACAGTCAGTGGGAAAGATCACATTTCACTGGTAACAAGTACCCACTCAAAATCTAGACATCCCCCTCTGGGGTGAAGTTCTGTTTCTTCTTCTACCTAACCCATATTCAAATTGCAAATTGATAACCTCTGAGAATAGAAATGGAAACAGTGTAGGGACAAGTTGGAAAACAAATGTTCCAGCCAATGTGCCAACTAGAGATCTCACTGCGGATGCTGTGGAGTGGCCTTCTGGAACGGAACAAGCCTGCCTGAGGGATGTGAAGAAGGCCTCGGGGCTGGCCCAAATGCTTTGCCATGCCACTGGCATCAATCCACTCCCCTCCTTCCTCGGCTCAGCGTGAGTGTCCCCATCACGTCAGAGCAGTTCTGCTTTAGCAGACCAAGGAAGTAATAAGACCATGGAGACAAGCGTTCTCCAAGGCGCCTCCCACACACCCCACGCTCCATGGGAGAATTCCTGGGAGAGGACAGGGCAAGGGAGAGAACCAGAAAAGGCTAAAGAAAACCAGGATCTGTTGAGAAACAAGTGTGCTTCGGAGGATGGAGGTGGCTATAGTGCTGCCGCAGCACAGCCCTGCACCGTGGGAGGAACAGGGGAAACGGTGGTGTGCAAACACCCCCAACTTGACAGCTCTGCTTGCTGTGGCCAGCACTGCTGTCCCCTGGGCAAGCCCACATGGTACTACAGCCCCCTCTGCTTACCAGGTGGGGGATAGGGAGGGCTGCCAAGAGGACGATGGTGCAGTCGGGGCCAGCACGCGTTCTGCAGGTGCTGTCCGTGGGAACTTTCTGGAAGCAGAGCCCTGACAGATGCTCTGATGGCAGAGCAATTAGGCTGAGGGGCCCTGCCCAGGACAGAGCAGCCTGCCTGTCCCCATGCCAAGGCACAGGAACCAGTAGTGGCTATAATTTGGTTTGAAAGATGAAGAATTCACACAAAATCATTAGGAGAATAAGGTAATTGTTTCTAGAGTGAATACTGCATTGAACATCTCTTAGAAGACATGTATAATGGGACATGCTAGAGAATTGACTATTAAATACATTTCCTAAGAATATATTTCTGATATAGATCATGAAAAACACAGTTAATAACTTCTGTCTCAAAGTATTTCCTTAAGGTGCAAAGTGTGGCATATACGTGTTTCTGACGATTAGAAAAACGGATGTGCTTCTGGTTGATGGATGGCCTTTGTTGGCTGTTACCCAGGTGGGCACAGATCAAGTTATTTAAGAGAAGAAAACCACTTTGGAGGAAAAGCTATCTAAAAACAGATACTTTATTTGCTTGTGTTTAAAATCTGAGGGCTGGAAGAAGTTAGACTCCTCACAGGTCAAAAGAAGGAAACCTCATTTTTCTAAAACCCTGGAAGTGTAACACACAGGGCTGTTATTGCCATGTGTTAGTGATGTCACAAGGTCCTTACTCAGAACTGAAGAACTTGGGACAGAGCAGAGCACTATCAGTGGACTGACAAGTGGATGTGAAACTAAACACTCTAATAGATTAAAACAACACTTGCTAACTAGGTCTAGGGAGGTGAATACATCCCCTCAGGGTAGCAAGGTGCCTAATAGGTGGGGGGGGGGAATGGGAAGTGAGCATCCTGGGGGGAGGTGGTGCTAATTTTCATCCAGATAAACTATCAAATGGACCATCATCAGGTCTCCCCACCCCCTTCTCCCCCACCCCTCCCCAAAAGACACACCGGCTTCCGGGCAGAGGGAAAGCCTGCCTGGGGATCGGTGCAGTTCGCTGTGGGTCGACACGCTCTCACATGCATGGAGATGATACTGAGTCCTCTCAGCACATGCTGCTTCTGGGGGCACCAGTCCCCCCACCTCCAAGTGGTGAGGGGCTCCCTCGAATGCTCTCACCTCTCTCAGTCCCCTGGGACGCGCAGGGTTTCCCTTTTAACTGCCTGGCAGATTCTGTGACTCCTGAGAGGTGTGGCTTATTGTCGGTGATATGAAACGCCCTTTGAAAGACAACAGGGCTCATCGTTGTCAAATGTAATGTTTAACACGTGGGCATCGGACATGCTACCCTGACGACGGTGGGTTTCACGTGTGGGTGGGGGGATGCGGCGCCGGCGGCCGCAGCTGCTTCTCGCGCGGGAAGGACGTTCACATGACCACGCACTTGCCTTTGAGCTTCTCTTTCCTTTTCTGCTGCTTGCTCTTTTTCCCGTCGATCTGTAGGCTCACGGTCCTGCGCTTCTCCAGGTTGAGCAGCTCCTGGAAAAGCTCCTTCACGTTGTGGTTGAGCTTGGCCGAGGTCTCCATGAAGGCGCACTTCCACGTGCGCGCCAGCGCCTCCGCCTCGCCGCTCTGCACCTCCCGGCTGGGGCTCTCGTCACATTTGTTCCCCACCAGCATGATGGGGATGCTCTCCACGTCCCCCTTGATCTCGCAGATTTGTTCGTAGATGGGTTTGAGCTCCTCCAGGGACTGGCGGCTGGTGATGGAATACACCAGGATGAAGGCGTGCCCCTTGGAGATGGACAGCCGCTGCATGGCGGGGAACTGGTGGCTGCCGGTGGTGTCTGTGATCTGCAGCGTGCAGATGCTCTTGTCGCAGCTGATGACCTGCCGGTAGGTGTCTTCCACCGTGGGGATGTAGCTCTCCCGGAACGTGCCTTTCACAAACCTCAGCACCAGGGAGCTCTTGCCGACACCACCTGCCCCAAACACGGCCACCCGGTAATCGTTGCTTTGCTCAGGCATGTTGCTGGAGGGCTCCAACTACCAACAAGGATGCACCTAGCAAAGGAACCAGATGTTTGAGAGAATTAATTAAAAAAGAGCCTTCGCTTTGCTCCATTTTAGTATATGTGTACACGCTTTACTCTTTTTTGAGAACGTAAAAAAAAAAATGAGGTAATAAAGTTTGTTTTCACTCTCCCAACACATAAACAATTGAATTTCATTTAAAATGCCTATAATTCCAAATCCAGTAAATTTGGCCAATCAGCAGTTTTCAGAAGGGCAGCCAATCTGAGCAGAGGCTAACAGGGGCAGGTCTGTTTCTCCCTATTAGAGGGCGGCCCTGTCGATCTTTGTTCACATCGGGACCTGTCCCTGGGGAAAAGATGCAAAGGATTCCCTGAAAGTCAGAATCAGGGAAAGGCCATGGGGAGGTGAGAAGTAAACCACCTCCTCCACACACCACACACACACTCACATAATCACCGCCTATCTTTACTGTTGTACCTGACATACTGAATACCCAATATCCTGGTCATAATAAGGTGCAATTTTTTTAAATACTGGGAGGGGAAGATGAGGGGGCAGGATACTCTTAATATTTACTGTATATATTAACTCGTGAAATCCTTGCCACCTTGCAAAGGTTGGTCATTAGCTGTGCCGGACAGTGATGAAAATGGAAACCTAAAACAGATAGGAACCGAATGTCCCCCATGTAAGAAGGGAGGCTGAGATATAATCAGCACAGGTTAGATGCCAACCTCATAGGCTGCCTGCAGACATCACTTGTCACAGCAGCTTGGAAGCTACTCAGGTGATGGGATAGGCCTCCATTAAGCCAGAAGAGTTAGTTGACAGTTACCTCAGAAGCTGGTTCTGAATGGTCACTTCATTCATCAAAATTAAAACAATTTCTTGTGCTTTATTTTTGAGAATCAAAGTCAGGTCTTACCAGTATAACAGTACAAACTATTATAGTTATTTGTTTTTAACTAAATCATCGCTGTGTACATTAATGCAATTATGAGATACAACGTGCTGGTTTTATATACAATTTGAAATACTTTCATGAAACTGGTTAACATAGCCTTCACCGCATTTTCTCAGATATTCATAAATTATATTCTAACTTATTAATGATAATTGAAATTGGGTAGAATGGAGTTTCTCTTCATCACAAACTTTGTTCCCAGTCCAAGGGATTTGTAAATGTGCTTTCTTCATGTATAAACTATCAAATATCCTTTATCCTGTCCCTTTTTTAATAAGGAAGGGCATTTAACACACACAAAAAGGTAGAGAATTAGGCAATGTTCAATTTTTTTGTTAATTAGACAAATTATATGGTAACATGAAGCATGGAATCTAGTCTTTTCTGAAAGTAGGAATTATGTTGAACTTTTGCTTTTCTATTCTTAGAGCAACTGGGGAGCAATAATAAAAAGTATTACAGAACAAAGGCATTTTCAGAGGCCATTAAAAATTATTAAACATAATTTACAACAGAAGAAAACAGGTTTGTGCAATGAATATGTTTGCTGGCAGACAGGACTGAAGATCAAAGCCCAGGACTGTGACACCCCATCTTCTGACTGCACTCCGTGCACCTGCCTACAAATCTGCTTGGTTAATAGTCAGCTGTCCTTGCATGCACTTGGGAATCTCAAGCCCCCCCAAGAACCTGAAGAAGCATCAATGCTAAGAGAGAATAGAAAAAGATGTCAGGAAGTTGGTTAACTACAAAAGACTGCAGGAGAGCCTACTTAAGAGTCTAAGTAAGCCTATTAGATGCTCAGGAGATAATTATAATCAATTCAAAAGTACAACATGGTGATCAGTTTTTCTGGTTTGTTTTTTTTTTTAAATCAGTGGTGTCTCAGCTCATTTTCTGTTACTCTTACTGAACACCACAGATGGGGTGATTTTTGAAAAAAAAGAAATGTATTTTGTATCGTTCTAGAGATTGAGAAGCCCAAAATCACAGTGCTGGCATCTGGTGGGGGCCTTTGCTGTGTCACAGTACGGCAGGATACACCTCACGGCAAGACAGAGCCAGAGTGTTAGCTGGGCTCTCTCCCCATCTTATAAAGCTACTAATGCCAAAATGGGGACCACCCTCATAACCTCATCTAATCCAATGACCTCCCAAAGTCCCCACCTCCAATATCATTATCACATGAATTTGAGGTTTATGTTTCCAACACATGAACTTTTAGGGGTCACATTCAAAGCATAGGAAGTGGCCTATGAAATCTGATGTTCAGCTTCTCTCTGAATCCTCAGCTTGAAGCTCCCCTTTCATTTGGAAGGCAAAGTCCTCACTTGTGTCATGGTAACTCAGCTACAAACTAGAGTGTAAGCCTCTAGATGGGAGGGAATGTCTTAACAATCTTTGTGTTCCAGTATCCCTTAAAAAAATCCTAAGTCCATAGCACATGCTCTCATCCACATTTACTTAATATGTGCTCAGCTGTATTAATGTGTCTCCATCATTAAACTGGCAACCAAAATACAGAAAACAAATTCTACACAGAAAAGCAAACTTTTCATGGCTGCTGTCATTCATTGGCCCCCAAAAGTATCTTTTATACTGCCAGTAAAAGCCAGTCAAAAGGGAGGTCTGGAGGAACCTCATCAAACCTGGGATGTCAGGAACAATTTTTCCAAGTGATATGGGAGCAAGAACCGGAAAGATGAACAGGAGTCAGGCAGTTGAAGGGGTGTGAAGTTCAAGGGGTTAAATGAGGTAAATCTGGGCCAATAACTCTATACCGATCCTCAACTCTCTAACAAAAACTCAAACCATCTCAGAACCATTCATTTATTTCACGGGCATTTATAAAACACCTTCCAGCAAAGGTAGTGCTTACCCAATAGATGCTTGCAGCTTTAGAGGGTAGACAAGTAGACGAAAGATACCTCACAGCCCAGATCAAGTGATCAAGTTATAAACAAAGGTAGACGAAGAATGTAGTGGACATCTAACTGCTTGGAGCCCTCAGCAAACATTTTACAGAGGGCTGGGACTTTCTAGATGGCAAAGTGATGAAAGTCAAATCATGGGATCCCATGAGAAGGAACAAGTTCAGGAAATGGAACTAATGTTGCCTGTGCCATGGTAGAAAGCCACAGAGACTTGCATCTGGGAGAGCAGAGGAATGGTGGCACCCACCAGTAAAAGGTAGAGGAAAGAAGCACATGTGGAGAAAAGATAGTGGATAATAGAGAGAAAGGAGGTGTGACTGGGTCAAGTTTCTAGTCCAAATGGAGAAGGCAGTAGGAATTTAGTTTGGAAGCTCGTCTAGTGATAAATATCTTGGTATCATCTGCATACAAATAGCACTATAATAAACAAAAATCTCCCTGCGAAGGAGTGTGTTGAATGAAAGGAGAAGACCAAATGCCAGATCTGATGTTTACTATTAAGAGACTGGAAACATCACTAAATTTTCTGTATTTGAGTTGAAGAATTACATGTACAAATAACAGCACAAATAACATCCCTTTTATGAGCTGGTAATCTATACCAATCTTTTATTACAAAATCATAAGCATGTAATTCTGTAACATAACAATATCACACTCAAACATAAAAGGGCATTACTTCTGCCAGTCCCTGTGTAATGAAGCACTTAGCACAGTTCTCAGCATGTAGCTTTCTGGCTATTTTCAGGAAGGACCAGAGTAGGGATTAACAAAGAAGCAGTAAGGTGGAGAGAGGAGAACTAGCAAGAAGGCAACAAAATGTCAAAGCAACAGAAAATGTCCAACAGGCATTAAAGGAATGCGACTAAAGTGGGGTTTAGAAGAAAATTATAACTATAAATACCTTTATTAAAAAAGAACAAAGAAGCTTGGCACCTGGAGCACAATGGTTAAGGCACCAGCCACATGCACCAAAGGTGGCAGATTCGAACCCATCCTGGGCCAGCTAAACAACAATGACAACTGCAACAAGGAAACAGCCAGGCATTGTGGCCGGCACCTGAAGTTCCACCTACTTGGGAGGCTAAGGCAAGCGCTTCACTTAAGCTCAAGAGTTTGAGGTTGCTGTGAGCTGTGATGCTACAGCACTCTATTAAGGGTGACATACTGAGACTCTGTCTCAAAAAAAAAAAAAAGTTCTCAAGTTAGTAATCTAACCTCCCACCTTGAGACAAAAGAAAAGTACAACTAAAGAAAAATTTAAATTACAGTACAAATTAATAAAAATAAGAAAAACAAAAATCAATGTATCTTTAGCTACACTAACCATGCAAAAAAGTGAAAAGATATTTAAAAATTCACTAAAATCAGGAATGGAAGAGAAGACATCACTAATGACCTTACAGAAATAAAAAGATTATGAAAGTCCTCCATGAGCACTGTATGCCAACAATTTAGACCAGCATTTCTCAACCTGTGGGTCGTGACCCACAGGAACTGTATTAAAGGGCTGCAGCATTAGGACAGTTGAGAACCACTGATTTAGATGTTGTAGATGAAAAAGACACAATTTACCAAAGCTGATTCAACAAGAAATTAAATACACCTATAACAGGTAAGCATATTAAATTAATAACTAAAAATACTTGCCCACAAAGAAAATCTCCAGATGGCTTCATTGGTAAATACCAGCAAACATTTAAAGGAAAGTTAATACCAATTCCTCATAAACTCTTCCAAAAAACTGAAGAGAGACCATTTCTGATTCCTTCTGCAAATCCACCATTGCCCACCAAGACATCTCAAGAGAACTATAGGCCAAGATCACTTATGAAAAGAGAAACAAAAAATCCTCAACAAAATACTAGCAAACTGTATCTATCAACATATAAAAAGAAATATACATTTTAACCGAAAGGGATTTATCCCAGAAATACAAATTTGGTTTCAGGGCACAGTCCCTGTGGCTCAAGTGGCTAGGGCACCACCACACACACCTAAGGTGGCAGGTTCGAATCCAGCCTGGGCCTACCAAACAACAATGATGGCTACAACCAAAAAATAGACGGGCGTTGTGGTGGGCGCCTTTAGTC